AGGATTGGTGAATCCATCTTATATGAAGAGCACGTTAAGTTACAACTTAAATACATTGTCAACTACTTCACTTTCTGGCATATTAAAATTTACCGTAAATTTCGACCCTAAAGCTAGATGACCTCTCCTTTCAAAATTAGGCACTTGGAAGTTATTTCCTTTGTGGGTTAAGAGGAAAAAAAGTCAAGTACCTTTAATGATATCTTTGGAAATAGATATCATCACTGATTTTAGTCATGCGGTTTAATGGATTGAAAGCACTTACCTTGTGGCTATGAAAAGTGATACAATACAGACCAAATCCCTAGATTATTTGAAAAGAAAAAGGTACACATCCAAGAGAGACTTGGAAGGAAGACGCATGTCAGTCTGATACTGTTTTAAAATATGGAGAGAAAAAAAGGGTTAACACCTAGACATTAGTCTAGAATCATTTCTTCTGCCCAAGCACAAAAGAGAAACTCTCTCACATGTCCACAAAAAGTGATAGGACAAATCTGAGCCCAATAAACTCTACATAGACTTTTAGTTTATCTGCTTCAAGTCACACTTCCTGTAAAGGAACAGGTGACTTACAAGTCTCCTTCTAAATGTCAGTTCTGCACCAGCCTCATGGAGTGCCTGCTCAAAGCATGCACAGAAGAGCCTCAGCACTGCTCCCGTCAGAAAAGAAACCAAAGAATGTGAAGATCTTGAAGAATTTTGGGGCTCAGGAGGTTGAGAAGCAAGAGTGAAAATCCGTTGAGAATGATGTGTCCCCCTGGTATAGATTCCCAAGTGGAACCAGATTTCCAGGTTCCTGGTGCTTATTTTTAAAACAAATGAACAACTTGGAAGTCCAACATCAAATTCTACATTAGGAAGGAAGAGATCTTTTCCTCTCGCTAACATCTGTGAGCCCTATTTAACATTTAAAATATAGTTCACACACATTTAAGATGAAAGAAAAACCTGTGATTTATTCTGAAAATTGTACCTCTGGAGGAAAATGCATTTTAAATTCAAAAGCCAAAGTCAAGCCTGTCTTGACATCTATTGATAGGTTACTGTATAACAAGAACTTGTGAAGTGCTTAGTATGCAGGATTCCGCATGTGCTCACTGCAGCCACAACCCTACAGGGTGGAGGGCTTTTATTATTTCCAAACTGCAACATGAAAACTGAAAAAATATCAGCCTCCTCTAAGTAGGAAACAGAACTTAATTGAAACTCCAACTGCAGAGCCAGTTGTACCTGGTCAGCATCCTGTGGAGGTTAACATTCTCCTGTCCTCCCCGATGACCATGACCGGGAGCGATCACTTAACCTATTCAAATCTCACGCCTTCTTGAGGTTGCAAAGTTGCCAGCCCTCAGTGTCAGGCTAGACCATCAAGTCCTCGAAGCCAGTGACTATAATTTACATTTCTCACATAGCAATAAGTTTTCAAGGTTTTGGATGGAGTCCTTTGGCTAAGGATATTTTGAAATCACTTGGGAATCCTGGAAGAACACCCAGAAACTTTAGCTCCTGTGAGTTTTGTAAAGAGTTCTTTAGAAGCCAGGCATGCCTATAAACCCAGGAGCATAGGAGCATGCCTATAAACCCAGCTACTCAAGAGACTGAGGCAGAGGAATGAATTTGAAGACAGCCTGGGTAACTTAACCAGACCCTGTCTCAATATAAAATTTTGAATGGGCTGAGATGCCTTCAGTAGTAGAATGTTTGCCTAGGATGTAAGTTTAGTGCCCAGGACCAAAAAATAAAGTTCTTCAGAACCAAATTGGCAGAGGAAAGCCAAGCCACTGAGTAACCCATCACACTGCCTGCATCTCCTCTTATTCCTCTTAAATTTATGTCCCTAAGCTGCCAAATGGCAGCCTTCTAGTGGCCTGCCTTGTTTTCCAAGGATTCCAACTTCTCTCACCTTCCATACACATAATTACTTAATACACTGTATTTCTACTTTTTTAGTTAACAGCAGACAGCTTAATATACGCCCGCTCCACACACATGCCTCATAACCATCCAGGAGGAACTCAAAAGTCAATCTCCAAAGATAACCCTTCTCAAAATCTAAAAAAGAACTGGGAGAATCAGGTCACTGAACCCAAATCCTGTCCAAGCCAGCAAGGAAAGTTCTGTCAACTCTCTCTCTCGGGGAAGGTTTGGAACTATGCCCATCATGCACACATCCTTGCTGCCTCTGAGGGGACAAGTTTCCAGAGATTGCAGCGCTCCCCAGGGAGGAAACTCACTGAGTCTCAGAGGAGCCTGCCTGGATCTACATGGCCGCAGGTTCCTGCCGTGCACACCGCATCCTCAGCTTCCATGGGTTACGTGATGGCTGCTTCTCCAAGCAGACGATTAAATTAATATGCTGTTGGCTTCAGTTGTCAAAAATCCATGAAATCAAGGTGACCCACTGGAAAACACTTCCCTTTGGTAACATGCCCAACTCGCCGTTGTTTCTATCATTTTTGTTTTTTCCCCTTTTTTATCAGGTGCACCAACTAAATTCTCTGTATTTTCACATCATGCTGCTGGTTTATCACATTACTTTGAAGGAGGGTAAATAATTGATTTGATCCATTACCCCTAATTCCTCTCGCTCCATTAGATATGGCCTAAGTTACACGTCAACACCAGACAGATTGCATTTTAAACCCAGCCTCTCAAGTAACCAAGCCATGGTATGCTTTGAAAGAATTTAAATGATCAATTTAGGGGGGCCGAAAAATAGGGACAATAGTTGAACTTACTCTAACAGGGTCCCTAACCACACGCAAGTGAGTATTTGCGTATGTTGAATATTTTCCACAAACTAAAATCTAGTCTAAGTGGCTAAGGAAACTGTCATTTCTTTGTCATCTCTCATAATTAGGGACTTTCATTCAGGCTTCTTTGTTGTGGAAGTGGCTATTAATAGCTTTGAAGAGCAGCTAGCGTATGAAGTGAAGAGTAACCAGGAGGAGAAAATGATTTCCTGTTGGCAGTGGTGAGAACATGAGTATTAACCTGATTTACAAACCCAGGTCCAACCCAGCCAACCCACACACTTCATGAACTATGGCCCCAAATAAACGGTGGTGGGTGGAGGTGGAGAATGTGGCTACAAGTCCAGACTGCACAACTGCTTCTTCAGGTTCGGCGTCATCTCCCTGTGGCTACTGACTGGTTGCCCTGGTGCATGAAAGGATAGTTGTGGTGAAAAACAATGGCAATTACTTTAGTCAGAGCACTTGAAGATCCCAGACCCCTATTCTGACGTGGATGTAGAAGCCTAGAACAAATGTAAGTAAGTAGACTTTCAGATACAGAGGGGTGAATCTATAAATAACCCAACTGTCCAACAATAAGGGATAATTAATAAATGATGATGTGCCACTTGAAAGAAAATATGTTCATTCAAAGTCATGATTTTGACTATCTAAGACAATGAAAATATTAAGGCACTACATTAAGTGAAAGAAGTAGAATTCAAAAGACTGTATGATTAGAATGTGAACTTCATCGAAAGAAAATTGTGTGTGTGTGTGTGTGTGTGTGTGTAAAACAGGAAGGAGAAATATGAAAAATCTCAGAGGGTACCCCTCCTGGGATTACAGAAATTTCTTTCTTCTTCTTTATGTTTTTCTCCAAAATTTCTACAATGAATCTGTGTTACTTTCTATAGTAATAAAAAATTATTAAGAATGTGTGGAAAAAAATCAGGATGATATAAATCTTAATTCTTTCTTGGCTTACCCCATTGCTTCTCTTTCCCAGAGATTTCTCAGGCAATCCCTATCTTACTTTATCCTTCATCATGCCAGCAGATTTTTCTTTCCAAAATACAAATGCAAATGAAAAAAAAAAACATTCAGTGATATTCCATTTCCTTTTCTAAAAAGAAAAGAAAAAGAGCCCAGGTTCCTTTGTTCTTTGCTTACTTTGTAAACACTTCCAACTTCCAGTCCACTCATCTTTGTAGCCTCCCTTCTCCCTCCTCTCCTCTCCCTTATGCTCCACTTCTACCCCTGCACACACACATGAGCAGCATCTGTGAACTTGCATGATGGGATCTCTCCTCACTGGGTCTCCTCTGCCAAGTACTCTGCCCAAGTTTGACAACTCACACTCCTACTCATCTTCCAATGATCATGTTATTTAGCCAACCTGTGCCTTGATTTGCAAGGGAGAGAAAATAATGATAATACCTGCCTTGTGGAAGGGGTGAGAGCCCTAACAGGAGCAGCTACTTGCACAGAGCCATGCTTCCTAAATCTCAGCTTGTACTTGAATTTGAAAAGTTTATCTGTCACCCCTGCAGCTTCCTCTTTAAACCCCGCATGCTCCATTGTGTACCAACTACATAGGGTGTGCAACCCAGAGCCTTCCTGGCCCAGGGCCCATTAGAGCAGCTTATCGTGCCTGTCCTCTCTGTAAGCCTGCAGATACATCCAGGTCAGGGACTGCATGACCTTGGCCTGTGTTGCCTTCCCCTCTACCCCACCCCAGTCTATAATCAGTACAAAGGAATTATTGCCAAGCTGAAAGACTTGAAATCAAACAGCCACAGATACTGGAGAAACAATAAAATTAGACATTTTGAAACCATGGGCTGAGATTAGATAACATTAAATAATTGCATTTATTTCATTAGGGCTGATAATGTGATTCTGCTTTTTTTTTTTTTTTAATGCCTTTATCAGTTCTCTGGAAAAATGTACTGGTGCAATATCCATAGTCTCTAGGATTTGCTTTGAAATAGTGCAGAAAAATAAATCTAAAAGAAAGCAGGTAGTTGTAGTAGAAGGGAGGAAATTCATTGTTGAAGGTCCATGTGAGTCCCTGTTCTTATACCTTTCTCTCTGCTCGTGGGAATATTTGAAAATTTCCATGGTGAAAGTTAACCAAACATATTAGCAACAAAGGAACCAAAGGGTTTCCATAACAACGTAGAATGAAGTCACAAAAACACTAGTAAGTATTCTCAGAAAAGAATACATGTAGAAATGTATTCAATAAATAGACGAGCACCCACCCTCTGTATGGAAGCCCCTGTTTGGGTGCGTAGATGGGTCACAAAAGCCCAATCTGATTTGGCAACATACTGCAATGTCAATTAGACCTGCTTCAGCTGTGAAATAGATACTGGACAGCCCACCTTTCAGGGTAACTAAAAACAATAAATAATTAATGGCAATAAGCACCCTGCTAATATAAATGCAAATGATAATCCTTGTGCTGCTCAATTTACATGCAAATGTCCTTTTTTAATCTATCAATAGTGGAAAATCAATAGTGTTGGTGATGAGAAAGTGATTTCCAAAGCTGTTTTGAATATTTAAAAAAAAAAAATCAGTAAAATAGTTTCAATGGTTCCCCAGACTCCCTGAGGCCTTAGCCCAGGCGTAGGAGTCAGAATCTCTGAGTAGAAACCGATTCACTCTGTGACCTCAGGCAGTGCATCTGTGTCCTTGTTTCCCTAGAAAAGGAGTGAAGAATGTCCAGGGGCAGGGACATCCAGAGGTCATCTAGACCTGAGCAGATGGGGGACAGCCCGTGCCAAGGGGCTTCCAGGGAAAAGATCCCGCAGTCTCCATTTAAACCTTCAGTCATATCACCGTCTTATATTCCAAAGTGCGTCTGCTGCCCTGTTCTCTCTAGCTCCAGGAAAAGCCTCTTTTCTTTGTCTCAGGGCAATAGACAATAGCCAATAGCCATCTACCAACAGGCCCTTCTGTGTGCATTCATCAGTTTATATCACTTTATATAAACAAAAAGGGTCAGGTCAGGATACATTCTGCCTGGTAGCAGTTTGATACTGAAACCAGAATTATGAAGCATTAACTGTGTGGTATGTTCAGTGATAGCCAGTGTCTTTATTGTGTGATGAGCACAAAGTGGCTGTTATAGTTTTCCCCGCATTAAGTATTGTGAAGTGCTAGGCACCCCGTACCACCAATAAAAGCCACAGTCCTCCTCTAAATCACTCCTCACTTGAAAGACACTTCAGAACTCAACCTCTGAGATTCTTCCATAACTAAGACACTGAAAGAATCTTCATTCTTGAGAAGAAACAATAGTGAATTCTAATTTAAGGGGGAAATATATATATCCAAATATATAAACTGACTGACAATGAAATTCTCAAATTCATTCCTGCAAATGAAGACAATGTTCTGCAGAATCAGTTGTTGAGTTCAAAAAAGCACACCTCTATCAACCATATCCAGTAGCCTGGGACTGGCCCGACTTTAGCACCGGACACTGCCTGACCCCAGAAGAAGCCCAGTACCAGGCAAGGTGTTGATAATGCTGTGACCAACTTTGTACCATGCAGGGAGGCTGAGCTGCATGGAAACAATCAAGGCTCCCTTCTCTCAGTTGAGTTAAGTCAATAGCAGGCACTTAGCTGAGATTAGCAAATAGGAGAGGAGAGAAGTTGTGGTACTTACCTGCTGACCGGCCATGCACATGTCCCCTGAACATCCTTCTTCTGAGCGTTCCAGCTGCTAGCAGGCACTCCTCCCATCAGCTGGCCTCTTCCGAGCTGCTAACCATTTCTTCTAGGTCTTTTAAGCTTAGTAGTAACAACAGAGCTTCACTTTTCTAGCCCAAAAGTATCACATTTGCTTTTTTGCTTCCATAAATCATGGCTCCTAAATATGGGTAAACGTCTCACCAAAATGATGATAGGCAGTCGTTCCCCGGAAGGAGGGCTTCCGGCCCACAGGGAGCCCCGGGTGGGGAGCGCCAGTCTTCCGGCTGGCTAGCTTCCTGCCTGGTGGCTCCCAGAGCGTGGGCCCCCAGCGCACAGGGAGCCTCGGGCAGGGAGCGCCGGTTTTTTGGGTCTTTGGACCGGCAACTCACTCCCGGCCTCGTGGTTCCCCGGAAGGAGAGCTTCCGGCGCACAGGGAGCTGCGGGTGGGGAGCTCCAGCCTTCTGGCTGGCTAGCTTCCTGCCTGCTGGCTCCCAGAGGGTGGGCCCCCAGCGTATGGGAGCCACGCGGCAGCGAGCGCTGTTGCGCGCCGGCCCTTAGGCCGGCCGCCGCCGCTCAATTGGGATCTATCATGACACAGAGAAACATTGACACAATTGGCCCACCATGCACCGACTGCAGTTGCCCACCCACGGATGTGTGTGAATCATTGAAACTTTGAACAACCCCTGGGAATATATGCCATACAACGGGCCACTCTTGCTCCTGCCATTGGGAACCAGAAAGGTCCAGAGCCAGCAGAGGAGCAGCTGCTGAACAAGGACTCAGAGAACATGAGAACGCAGACTAAACACACGGAGCCAGAGGTCCAGTGGACTGGGGTCACGAGAGCCGCTCGGAAGCTGTAAACCAGGAGGACCTTGCACAATACCTGCAGAGACTCATTGGAAGCCATTCTTCCCCTGACAGTACAGGCTGTGGTGAAGCTCTGGAGAAGTCTGCAGCAGGATTCCTGCTGCCTGTGCTGACAGTTGGGGAGAGGACACTAACTGGTTGTGGGGTCCCAAAGCAATGGGAAGCTGGAGAGAAAAAGCTACAAAGAATGGCTTTCACCCCAGATAGCTCACTTGAGATGTTAGTAAGAATTGCCTCGTCAGTATTCTACAGCCATGATGAGGAGGAGGCCAAGGAGAGAAAACAAAGAGACTGAGAAAAAGCAGCTGCTTTTGCTGCACCACTAAGAGAAACAGATCCCAGGTCTGATTCCCGGGGCTCCAAGAAGAACTCGACAACTGCATTCATCTGCTACCACTGTTAAAAGCCAGGCTACCTCAAGAGGAACTGCCCTAAGAGGCCCCATGGGCCATGCCCTGGATGCAAAGGAGACCACTGGAGATCGGTCTGCCCTCTGAGGTGGAGGCCCCAGAGCTCAGAGCCATGCTACCAGTTAGTCCAACAGGAATGAGAGGGCTTGGGGCATGGTCTGCCTTCTCCCTCTGGCCAGACCGTCATCTCCATCGAGGAGTCCTGGGTAATCATGACTATGGAGGAACAAGAAAACAGCCTGTTGCTAGTCACAGGTGCAAGTCTCTCGGTCCTTCTTTTCAATCCTGGCCTTCCTTCCAGCCATCATACCTCAGTGAAAGGAATCACTGGTGAGGAGGTAATATGCTATTTTTGACAACCCTTAAGCTGTAACTACTTATTAGATCCTTCTTGCATATCTCTGTCTTCCTGAGAAACCACTTTGAAGATACCACCACGTATTACAGCAGCCATTGATATTTTCCTACTAATCTATCCATAACTGTGTTAAGTTTGTAATGTTCCTATCCTATTTCATAATGTATGTTTATTATTATGTGTTTCCTACAACAACCATTGAGAATAGTTAATGATTTTTCAATAGGTCACTCATGTATAGCTCTATTTATTTTCTTTAGAAGCCACTTTGAAGATACCAAAGTATAGCACAACAACTCTTGATAATCTCCTACCTCTTTTGTCTCTAACTCACTATTATTTGTCTATTTGTTTTCCTGAGAAACTATTTTGTAGATAATAATATGTAAAACGATAACCATTGATAATTTCCTACCATTTTGTCTGTAATTTGCTAAGTCCCCCCTATTATTATGTTATCCTTCTTTTATTCTTTAAAATTAAAAAAAAAAAAATGATGATAGGCAAACCCTGGAATCAGAGCGACCAGGATTTATTTCCTGCTCTAAAAAGAACCCCAGTGCAGGCATAGGGAACGGGAAGCAATGCTGAAAGACAGGTGTCACTGTAGAAAGAGAAAGCCCACAGATACCATCGATACCGGTACCTCCCAAAGCATCACTGATGCCCATCACGGCTGGTGCATGGATGGTGCTTCTGGTCCATGATGACAGTAGGAGAAAAAGTGAGAGGGAGCATTTAGAAACCTGATAGCTGTTTCACACTGCTGCAGAATCAAGTATTTTGCAAAACAATCAGCTAAGGACTTAGTAGAAATTGAGATCTCTATAGACTGCCCCTGAGAAGCCCTGATCAAAACCAAAATATACAAGTAACTACCATGTTATAGGAAAATATTGATATATCCCTTTTGATTGAGACTCTGACTTAAGACCAGATGATTTTAGGCAAAACAAATGCAAATCAGTGCACTCTGTGGACTTACTATAGACTCACTGTGTGCCAGTGAGTCTATAGTAAGTTACATGTAATATGTTTTGCATCAGTTTCCTCATTCGCTCTTTATAATCATCCTAAGGGAGAGGACCTATTATTATTATGCTCATCACATCCTTCAAGTAAAGAAACTGAATGACACAGAATACTGAATGGGCCCCAGAAACAGCTGACACAAGTCAACACTGAGATTCCCACTGGGATCTGAACCCTGACTCTGAATAACCCCAGATTCTTCATAATGCCTCTCCCTACCAAAAATTAAATTGGATTTTCTGACAATATTAACATACTTAAAATACAAATGATCTTCCTAGGTTTTGTTTTATTTCCCACCCCTCCATGGTCCTTCCCTTGAGCTGGATTAGCAGAAATGTGCAAATCTCTCTTTTACCTGTAACTGAGTGCTCTGCCGTTTTGTTTCACGTTCTTCCAGAACAGCTAGTTGTATAACTGGAAACACTCTGGCACCCTCTATACAGAGAGAAATCTACCTTGTTCAGACAAAAGTTACTCACAGCTTAGGGGTATATAACCCAGCCCATTCATCTGGCTTCTCTTAGATTCTGCAGAAATATCATCTGCAGCATCAGAACACTTTTCTTCTTCAGTCTCTATGTGCTATAAATTGGAGACTTCCCAATGAGCTATAAATGTCTGTTCCATTCAGGGAGATGATGGACACTAAGAACAAAGACGTTTAGACATAAAGTTGAGATCTAGATGTCAACTGATGCTTCAGTTGTGTTGACTTACATGGTTGGATCACTTCTATCCTTATAGGCCAAAAGAGCTTGTGAGAGAAGAGCTTTTCTGCTATCATTCCCAGGTGGACAACACACACACACACACACACACACACACACACACACACACAATGAACTGTGGCTTTTCAAACCAGGGTGTCCAGTCAGCCAACTAGCCACGATCCAGACACCACCATGCCACTTCCATACCATCCCAATCATGGCACCTGATATTCATCATTTTCCTAGATATTACATATTCTATTGTGTCTCTGTAATGAAAAGGTTGAAGTCCATTAAGTGACGCCCAAAGCCTGATGATGTGTACCTGGGGCTGTAACTCAAGCCCTTACTAGATCTTGTTTTATACACATACAATGAAATATACAGGTTTTATTCTCCCATAGTCTATCCTACCTGCCATATATGACTGTTAATCTAGGTTCCAGTACGGAAAGTTGGAATAGGTCCTCTCTCACCATTTTGAATTTATTGACCTCCTTGGGTCCTCTTCGCACATTTATAGAACAAGACAGACAGACAGACCATGGATGAAGCAGTGGATAAACACAACCTCTGGGGTCCATTTTGCCCTGGTTGAATCATGACTTTATAATTTCAAGCCATGAAACCTTGGGCATGTTACTTAGCCTTTCTATTCCCCAGTAGCCTTGCATGTAAAATGAAAATGATAAAATAAAATGTTCCTTAAGGGTTCAGTAGAGATTAATCTTTACATGCAAAATTCTTAGGACAGTTCCTGGCACATAGTAAGTGCCAGATCACTGTTAGATTTTTCTGACATTAAAGTAACAAATGAGGCTTCCAGAGAATTATACAAAATGCATGGGTGTATGGTATTTCCTTTAGGATGTGAACACGGACCAAGGAAGGTGGACATAGTCATGCCCTAAGCTAGAAATAAAATATAGCTACTTTTAAAGACTCACATACCTTCTGCCTCGTTAGTCCTATTCCTATTTAAAATAAGAGATTCAAATAAATTTAGAAAGCATCACGAATTCTGACATAAATTTCATGTCTTATGTAAAAACTAAATGAATCAGAGACTAAAATGTTCAACATAAACCTATAAAATTCTTAGGAAAAAAATAAGAGAAAATCTTTCAGACCTAAAGTGGTTCTTAGACTTGATACCAAAAGTGTGAAAGGGAAAGAAATTGCTCAAAAGAAGAAATAACTGGGATGAGGGAAAGAAGAAAAAGAAAGTACTAAGGCATTTTATATATTATGGATCAGTGGCATAACTGTCGTGTTGGTGTCTGATGGTTTGTTGAGGGGAACGGTTAACGTTTAAAAGTTGGTTATTTTAAATATTTTGACCAATTTTGCATGTTTGTATCAGGTAATCTGAACAACTTATGTGATGACAGCAATTTACAGTGTAATATCCATTAGTGAATTCCTACAAAGCTGCCTAGTGACACTACGTATTGTCTCTAATGTTTGTTTAAATTATTATTTTCTTATTCCCTTTAATGATTTGACCAATCTTCTTTTCTTACATCTGGTAATCTGAGCAACTTTGTTGAAGATAACAATGTGTAATATAACAACCACTGTTAATCACTATCACTTAGTTTGAAACCCTGAATCATTTTTAATGTCCTTGCTTTGTGTTACTTGTATTTTGCTATTGTTCTTTTTTTCTTACTATTTTCTTTAAAATTAAAAAAGTGTACCCAATACAAGAGAAAGAAGATAAATCTAAGCAACGTCAAAATTAAAAACTTCACTCTAGAAAAGATTCTGTTCAGAGAAGAAAATGACACATTATGAAGTGGGAGAAATATTTGCAGATTACATATCTAGCAAGTTGTATCTTAATAAATCAACATTAAAATCCAATGTGAAAGTAGCAAAAGAAACTTGAACAGACATTTTACTGAAGAAGACTAACAGATGATAAACACATTATTAGCCACTAGGGAAATGCAAACCTAAAAGACAAAGATAGACAACTGTGATAGCTATAAGAAAGTAGGTGTCTACTTATAATATGTGTTTATGCAATATGATACTCTGTGGGGAGGACACATGTAATCTTTGTGGTATTATAAATTCAGTAGATCAACAGGCTTGACCTGGGACTACTGCAGATGAGCCTATTAGAATGAACAAAATTTAAAATATGTATAATAATAAATACCAAAAGCTAACATGGGTGTGGAGAAGTTAGGTAACTTGTACATTGCTAGTGGGAATATAAAATGGTACAGCCACTCTGGAAAATAGTTTGGCAGTTTCTTTTAGAACCAAAAATAAACTTATCAAACCACCCAGCAATTGCACTCTTGGATATTTATTCTAGAGAATTGAAAACTTCTTTTCATGAAGAGAATTATTAAATATGGTACCACCAACACAAGGACATATTAATTGGTCATTAAAACCAATAATTATGACAACTGGGTAGAAATAGGTTTAACAGTGTCTTCAAATAATGCTGGGTTTTTTTAAATGTAGAAATCAAAACTACATACTAGAATAAAGATTTGCTGGAAATAAACAGAAAGAAAACAGCTATTGTCAAAGACATGAGATTGCTCAGGGTGCTCATTTTTTCTTTTCTTTTTTTCCCAGATGCTTCTTTGCTGTTATTTTTACATCTTACATTTTCAAAACATGAAAACCCAAACTGGAAAATTATTAGCAGCAGACAACAATTTACAGAGAGACTCTTCCCTGGAAGGAGGAGCTTTTCTCAAAGGAGCTTCCCTGGAAGGAAAGTGCTTCCTGCAACTCCAGCCTTCCCCAAGAAGAGCTTTCACCAGAATGATCTTTATCAGATTTGCCAGGGTAAGGGCCAAGAGCCTGAGGGTCAGGACACCAAGGGGAAAGTTATCAAGGGAGGCAGAAGAAAGCCAGAAACAACACAACTGCCTGCAGCTACAAGGAAGGGAAAAGAGAAACAAGCAGAAAAGAAGGAAAAAATGGAAACAAAGCTTTTGTAAATAAGGAGAAGCGGGGTTGAAGGGAAGGGAGAGTGGGGCAAAAAAGATGAAGCAAGATGTATCGTGTAGAGGTACACACTCCCTATGATGAATATGATCATTATGTACATCTAAAATGTGCCAATAAACTGAATTATTTTTTAAAAGGCTCATCTAAGAGATAAAGAAAGAAATCTTTAGGGAAAGGGGTAAACAAATGAGTAGAAAGGGAGAAAGAGGGCTCCGATGGGAAGGGCACAGTTGACCAGGTTGCTACTGTCAAAAACAGAGCAAAGCAGAGGAATTTGGAGTCCAGTAGTCGTCAAAGGAAAGCAGCTCCAAGAAGAGGACAGGGACAGGAGAAGAAGGGCCGCCAAGGCAGGGCAGGACAAGTAGATGGAATGGGCCATTTCTATGTTCAGCATCTGCATAATCATAGCAAATCTTACATTCCCACTTCTAAAGATGTAAATGGTTAGAAGAGGTAATAATAATTTGCTAACACGATTCATTATTCTTTTAATTATTTTCATCCATGTACAAGGCCACAGGGGACCTTTCTAAAACCAAGCTCTTCAGTATTCCATCCAAAGGGAGAAAGGAATGAAAGCACAAATTCAGACACACAAAGAGCATCATTTCAAAGAGGTGATCTGTCCAAACACACCACAGATCCCTGCTTCAACTGTGCCCCCATGAATGCACCAGGTCACCTTGGAGAATGGTGGAGTGGTTTGATACTTCGACGTTCTGGAGGACAGGAGGATCTCCACGGCTCCTCACAAAGTCACTTACCTCTCTGAACTTCACTTGAAAGTTGTGAGGATGAAACACACACACATACACAAACATACACACACACACACACAAAGTGTCTCATGCATGACAGGCACTAAGTAATATTAATCCCCAACTCTCACTCCCATCTACACTCACTGTACATGGATGGCCTCCTTCTGCACACAATTTATCTGAGCTTTCTTTCTTCTTTTATTTCTTTTCTACTCTCTGCATGGACAGGTCAGATCAGAAGTGTAAGAGGTTAACACTCACAACAATCGTTAGTCAATGCAAATAAGAATGGGAGAAGAAAACCTTGAGTTTGCTTACCACTACTGAAAGGCATATCCAATCCATATTTTGTATTGTCTCTCACAAGTGCCCAGCAAGAATGGGTCTCAGTGTGCCTTGGCAGTAACTTCTTATATTGGCTCTTTCTCCCTGCTCTGTTTCAGGTCCCAACGCCTCTACTGGTTCTTACTAGCATCAACTCAAAGAAACCATCCTCCTCAAATCCTCACTGGAGTCAGCTTTTGTGGAACTCAACTAAAGACACTATGGAACTGTGAAGTGTCCCCTGCTCCTAAGTGGGTGACATGCTTGCAAGATGCTTCAAAGATGGGTCTGAGTAATGTTCATCCACTGGCTCCAGAATCTCAACACTGCATTACGGTGCTGGCTGGCAGGACTCTTCAGGAACTATTTCCTTGGGTGTTTCCAACAATCTCTTAATTACTGTGTGCCATCACTTCATCCTTGTCACCTCCACAAACTGAAGCCTGATATCAGTCCTTGCTTGAAACTCTTTTCTCCCTTGTTTAAGGTTCTTCCACTACTGTCTTTCCTTTGTAGAACTTTCTCTGGATCCCTCTTAAATGCCTGTTTTTTAAATGTAAGCATTCACAAAATTTTCTCTGTGGAACTTGCCTCTGACTTCATACTCTCCTCCCAGACTGTTATGGTTTAGATCTAGATGTTCCCCAAAGTCTGCATACTTGTGGGGCTTTGGGGAGGTAATTGAATGGTGGGGGTAGGATGAGTATGCTAGATGTGATGTTGGGAAGTGGACTCCAGTCAGAAGAGGCAGTGTCTGGGGCCATGGTACAGAAGGATTTATCTCCCTTCTCTGCTCCTCCCTCCACTCTCTCTGGTATTGGGAACTTGGTGGTAGACCCCTAATCTCCTAAAATGAGTGTATGATGAAGGTTTAAATAAGAGACAAGTGTAGGGTTTGTGAGGTCCAGGAAAGTCAGAACTCTCTTGGAGCTAAGACAAAGGCTTCTCTGGATTGCCCATATTTATCGGGTCCTTATAGTTCAGGAGGGTGCAGGAAGTGGAGGGTACATCTGAGGCAAAAGCCTAGGAAAATGAGCAAGGTCTTGAGAAGTTAGAACAAAGGCAGTAAATCATGCTAATGAAGAAAACTGTTTGATCTCTATGGCTGGCAGTTTATTGCTCTGGAGTAGGGAGTATCAGCCCCGCAGCTGCAGTCTTATCTTGCCTTCAGGGGCTGAAAATAGGAGCTTTCCAATACACCCAGAAAGCCTCATGCTCAGCAATTTAACCCTTACACAGCCTGGTCCCCAACACTGTTTCCTGGCTACTTCAGAGTACTGTAATGAGAATTAAATGCAATAGTACAGAAAAAGTATTACATACTTGATGTATAACAGGTGCTTCATAAGTAGTAATTATTGTGATAATTATTGCATCTCACTACTCTAAACCAAGAGAGAAAATAGAAAAAATGTAGTGCGATGCTACACAGGCATGAGAAATAAAACTTCTTTTTGAACAAAATTTCAGAACAAATAAAACATGCAGCAAAATCTCAGACCTGAACACTTACTTAGTAATCCCAAACCAAAGAGTCATTTTCATAGAGACAGGGTGTACTAGAGAAATACTTTATTTGGCTGTATATCTATTTACAAATCTTCACCACTGTCTCTGAAAATGAAGAAAAAGAGCCTTCATTTGGCTTGGATTATATGTGCCTTTGCAATCTTCACAAAAGCTTCTCTATCCTTCCATTTACCAAAAGTAAAAGCCATTTCAGGTCAATCAAGAAGAGGCAGTGACAGATCAAGAGAGTGAGACATCACGAAGTGTTGAGGTTGGTTGTAGCACCCCAGGGACTAGTGGAATAAGGCAAGTCTCCATTAGGCAAGGAACCATGCTCACCTGACAGCCCCAAGTGGAGCTCATGGCTGCTTCAGTAAGTCAAGCTAACTCACATTCTATAGCTTTACAGTAACCATCCACTTTCTGGGCAGCATTTGGGTTTGAGAAGTGGTATCAAACTGGAAAAATGTTGATGCAATAATGCTCCTTCTATGATTTAAGAAGATGTGAACAGAGACCTTGGGGAGATGTGAGCAGTATGACAGAAACACATGGCTAAAACCTTTAAGAAAAGAAATGCCAATTTCAGCGGACAGTGGTAAGAAGCAGGAATGCTTGCCAGATGGCATGGGTACTGAAGAGGTTAACTTGGACACTGTCTCCTAGTTAAAAGCCATCCCATCTCATATGTAGAAGTCCCTTCTGCGTATACAATGCTCCATTCCTCAAAAAGGAAATTTAAAATTAAGGAGTTTGACCTCAACCAGTTGGCTATATTTTGGCAAATTGGAGAGAGGAGGAAGTTCCAGTAGTTCTCTTCTCTATAGCAAAACTTAGGCCTCCTTTCTGTGAAGCCCCAGTAAGGAATCCGTACAAGTCCAAACGAAGTCTCTGCCTGTGTAGAGGGGAGACCTCTGCATACTAAAATTGAGAGACATGGGAAGCCTAGAGTGGATGGCAGCACTGCCAAAACACTTTCATCTTCAAAGCTCTTTGTAAGTGTTAATTAATTAATCCTTCCCACACCTGTATAAGGCAATAAGCAGGGATCAAAGAAACTCTGGACAACATTTGACAGGATGAACTCAAAGAGGCACATAACTCACATACTGAAAATGAGGAGTAGGAAGGTAGGGAGAACTCTTCTCCCTAGCACTCAGAAAAAAATGAGATACTGTATAAGAAGAAATATAATGTAGTATCAAGAACCATTTAGTGACCTCATACCACTTTCTAAAAATATAAATAGTGAAAAAGATAAATAAGCTTTAATCCAAATAATCGTTCTCTCCTCTGAGTTCATTCATACATCTGTAAATAAGGAAAAAAGAAATCTACTGGGCCACAAATCACTAGATGACCAAAGGCAAAACAAGGGCTAATAAGAAAATAAAAGCCAGATTATCTGAGTCAAACATATAGGAAACTAATTTGTTCATTACGCTAATGATAATGATTGTTGCATTGCTTTACAAATACATTAAAATTAATCTATAAATCTGGCTTGGCTGAGAATGGAGTGCTTACCCTGCATACCCAAGGCCCTGGATTTGATTACTTAAATATATACGAGGACACATAACCAACATTTATATGTAGAGTCATGTATATGTGGTTATTTCCAGTTGATTTAAACTGACCTGGAAAACATAATTCTGTGTACCAGTGGAATCCAACAGAACATTCAAATCATTTTAAAGAATATTTTCTCAAACTTACTCCAAAATTTTAAAATTAGATATAAAGTATGAAAATACTGCTTGGAGCAACCGTTTTACCAATGTCTTCTTTCAGAAATTAACTTTTGCCATTTTTTTAAAAACTGAGTCAGAAGGGTGCCGCCAGTTCTCTGTAAGTTTCCATTATGGCTTGGAAGTGTGTGAAAAAGATCAACTTAATAAATACTAGCCAAGAATAACTGTTTTATTTCTTTTGATTGTATCTCTAACCAAATTCAAATCTTGGTCCTTTGTAGGAATTCTGATAAACAGTTGCTATAAGGGAAAGTAGGTAGAATATGGAAATATATTTTGGAAGAATCTTCTCTTCAAAAAGCCCAGCATAGGCAGTTTCTAGATATCTCACAGGAAAGCCACACAATAATTGTTTCAGAGATAGTCATATTTTTGAAGAATTGAGGACACATAACCACTTCTCCAACTTCCCACAAGTCATTCAAAGAACCAGATGAGTCTTAAAATATCAACTTTATTAGTGGTCTTTCCTTTTCTTAAACTTGTCCTTGGGCTTGCTCTTCCCATCCACCCTTCTACTCAGACTCTCCCTGATCCTGAGCCCCCATTCCTCCTCTCTCTTGGAAAACTGAGTTTTCCTGTGAGAACCCCTGTTCTCTCCCTCTCTGTCCAGAGTGTTGTAGCACAAGCCACTCCCCTGTCCTCCCATAGTCAGAGTCAGGTACATTTCCCCCTCTGACCAATCACTGTGCCTCATTCCCTTGACCATCATGATTGGCTGGAGAATAGGGAAGGGCAGTAAGTTGGTCCATCAAGACCAGTCCTAGAGCTCAGAAATAAACCTTTCTTTTCAATGGTGCCCTGTGTTGCAAGATTCTGTAACATAACCTACTTGATTCATGTTTGTATGTCACACGCATGTTCCATATTTTAATAATGAATTCACAGAAACTGGGTAATGTGTGAAGTAAATACACATTACCAAGTCAGGCAAATGTGAAAAACTTCAATAAGAAGAGATAGTAAATGTGATCAGTGGTTGGTAATCTGTGTGTACCTAGCAACTAAGTCATCATTTTGGTATTGATTATTCTTCCCAACTGGGAATCACAATTATTTTCCCTTTGGTTTATATGAAATGAAAATTGAGAAAGTAGTTTCCTTCACTTTACTTGTGGTGAAAAACAGCATACTTAGACCAAAAAAAAAAAAAAAGTGATGCAGATTTCTTTTTCTGATAGAAGGTTCCACTAAGTACCTCAGATTTGTGGGCTTAGAACAGATGATAAATGGGATAACACTTGGGGTTTCCCAGTATGTTTCCAAATACTTGTTATATTCCATGTTTAATAGCAATGTTACTTTTGCAGGGGTATGACAAGTTTGAGCCCAGCCTGGACAACTTAGCAAAATTCTGTCTCAAAATATAAATAAATAAACAAACAAACAAAAAACATGCTGGGAACAAAGCATAGTGCTAGAGCATCCCTGTGTTCAGTAAAGGAAAGAAATTTTTAATTATATTTAACTTCAAAATCTCTTTTCTCCAGTTATTTAAATATACATTAAATATGCATGAGTGATAAATAAAAGACAGTTAGTGTTTTGTTGCACATTTCCATCCAAAACAGACATTTATAAGAGATGTTGATAATAACCACAGATTCATGACATACTCTATTTTGAACTGGAAGTAAATATCTGCCAAAGATAGGCCAAAATGGAAACCCAAAGATATGCCCTAAAACAACACTATATTTCTGAATTAAAATAGGGTGAGTCTATGGAGAAGGGCAAATGGGAGCATGCTAGACTTCTGGAAAAGTTGTATAGCTTTGTCTAGCTAGGGATTACACATCTTTATTTCTGTAAATACTCATCAATATTTAACTGTGTTCCCTGAACTCCCTACCTTTTAACTAAAAAGGCAAAAATGAAACTATCTCTGTATAGTAACTCCTACACAAAACTATCCCCCAAATATTTTTTTTAAAAATACAGGCACTAGAAATTTAAAATAACAGAAAAAAATTCTAGAATCTAGAAATTGAGAGGGTTGAGAAACATGATTTGTGGCCTATCCTCACTTTACCCTTTGGGTGCAATAGCAGCCAGACGGGGACTAGAAATTTAGCAATATTTATCCTCAGCTTGGTGATTAGATTTGAACCTACAGAAAGCTAAATGCTCAGCCCTCATTTTTGCTAGAAGTGTGTTCTGTGACTAGAAGTTCTGGTCAGTCTCACTCCCCAACTATTTTCAACCCTAAGGTGTGAGCATCAACCTACAGCTTCTCCTAAATGCTTATGTGTTAATCTTGGTGGTAAAGTTTATGAGTTGGCAT